ACAATTAAGTGATCATTATTAACTTTGGAGAAAGTAATTTCAGTTGAGAGATAATTAACCAACAAACATTTATTAAGCGCTTACTATATGCCAGGCACTAAGGTCAGAAGTCAAATTATAAGTGGTGAAGTGAATTTTTCCTTATTTTGCCTTTTTCCAATGACAAGGACAGAATGAAGACATTATAGAAAAAAGGATTCAACTCCAGAAACAAGGCTACTTACCTAGCAGCACTGTTATGAATATAGATCAAATAGAATAACTTTGAAAAGTTAAAAAATACCATTATTGTTACTTATAAACATTTTCTGAAAATAGAAAAATTTCATATTCACTAATGAATGTGATAGGGTATGATTATATTTCTCTCTCCTCAGAGAGAAATTGTTAAGTGAAATTGAACTGGTCATTGTATAAAGTAAATCACATAAATACTTTAAGTGATCTCCATATATTTACAACTTTAAGACTTGGCTTCATACACATGCATAAGAAGACACGCAGAACCAGGCCTACCTTAAGAGTTAAATATATAACATCATTGACATTAAAACAGGGCAGCAGTTCCTGATCCTTCTTTGAGGGGCTAGTTTTCATTTCCTCAAGTTTTGAAAATTCAGGACAAAAGAGGTGCTGACAGCTAAATACTAGAGTGGAAGAATCACTGAAAATGCCGACTAAAAAAGAGAGTGGAGAACTATGGACAGTATCTATTACCTTGGAATAAGGAGAAGTGGATGGTTGCCCGACTTGTTCTTACCTCTGGGAAAGCCAATCAACTGACATCTACCAGGTAAGGACTGGAGATCTACCAGTAGATCTTGATTAGCTAGTTGTAGGCTCCGGTGTTACAAGTACTGCAAGTATTTCATGCAAGAGAAAGTGAAGAGGGACTTATCTGAGCTGACAGGTCAATCAATGTTGGGGGGAGGGAGGAAGGAAGGATGCCATGAATTACCATCTCCCTTACTTTGGAAAGGCTTTATGGAAGAGATAGGGTCAAATTTAGACATATTTTGCAAAAAACTCAGTGCAATTAAATGACTGAGGGAAAAGGATAGAGAAAAGTAAAAAATTTACTGCAAAGATTTTGAAGCTGAAGATACGGTATTAATATCAATTCTAAAATATCTTCCAAGAACCTAAGAAGGCTTTAATTCTTTACCTTTTTTTTCCAACAAGATCTTATTCAGAAAGGAAGCTCCTTTTGCTTGGCCTACATAGTAGTTAGATGGCACAGTGGATAGAGTGCTGGACCTGGAGTAAGGAAGAACTGAATTCAAATCTAAGCTCAGAGGCTTACTGGCTGTGTGACCCTGGAGGCAAGTCACTTAACCCAGTTTGTCTCAGTTCCTTCTCTGTAAAATGAGCTGGAGAAGGAAATGGCAAACCACTCCAGAAAATTCCAAATGAGGTGAGGAAGAGTCAGATGTGACTGAAAACCAATACAACAACAAGGGCATAGCTGAAATAAGAACTGTGCCTTTACTACCTAGTTGTAAGGAATGAATGAAAAGCATTTATTGAACACTTACTAAGTGAAGAGCACTTATGCTAACTGCCAGGGACACAAAGAGAATAGCAAGACAGTCTGTTCTCTCAAGACTTTGAGTATATCTCTATGTCGGGTTATGGTTTCCCAAAATGTAAACTCTATCTATCTTACAGAATTTCTGGAAAGATCATGATAAGAGATGTTAAAGTACTTTGTGGGGAGCATAAAGTTCTAAAAATGCTTGACATTATTATGTTTGTGGAGACTGTTAGAAAAATCTAACAAAGAAGAGAAGTGAAAGTATGACTAAACCCTGCACAATCCCATTCCTGCTTCACTGTCATTTTGCTAGACTCCTCCTCTAAATTCCAATAATGCTACACCACCAAAATCTTTATCCAAAGTGCTACACTTCTGCTCTAGTGTTGCTGGGACAAAAGAGAAGCAAAGAACTTTGTGTCACAAAATAGTAGTGTTTACTTATCATCAGATAAAGATTGTAAGGACTAAGACTAGACCCATCTAACTGGTGAGGAGGCAATCCTGATAACTACTGCCCAGATCTCCATGGTTTTCTCTAAAGCCTTTTCACTTTACATAAGTTTTACATACGCACCTCACATAAGTTCCAAAGGAAAAATTAGTGCCTTTCACTATTCACAATTTGTAAGCTACGGGTCTTTATACCAGGTATCCGTAATCATCCAGAGGGCCTTTAACATACTTCATTTCACTAGTGTAGGCAGATCCACAAAGAAACACTGAGAAGACAAGGAAATAGTCCAAAATATTGTGGGTAAGAAATCAAGTTTTATAAAGGATGATGGAAGATCAAGGCAGTCTAAACCTGTCAAATTGAGTTAAAGTATAGATAGTACTTGCTAAATAGGCTTTGCATAAAGCAAAGCACAAAGGAACTGCTTTGAACCAAATTCAATCCCATTTTAAAAGCATTTATTCACCTGAAACAACCTTGAAGAAGCAGCAGATGGCCAAAGGCTCTTATAGGAAAGAACTAAGCAGAATTGGGAGAAATTTGTTTTGAACTAAGTCAAGAGACAGTGGAATTTACCACTGGAGGCATTTTCTCCAGGCCTGTGATTTCATTCACTCCCAATAAGCAAATTCTCTCTACTAAGGCAGAAGAGCAATTATCCACAATCTCACACAGCCAAGAGGATCAGAAAAGGGAACTGAACCCAGGTCTTCCCCTGTCCAGTCCAGCTCTATATCCACTAATATTCTAACTACTAAACCTCACATACACTACATTACTAGAAGATAAATTGGTTAGCCAAGCATTTAGCAAGCACTTACCAGGTGCTAGGCAATGCTGGTAGTAACGGGGATACAAAATCACAGTTCCCTACCCTCAAGAAGCTCACATTTTAATGGGGAATACAAAATATACAGTGTAAATGTAAGGTAATTTCAGAAGGAAAGTACTTGAGGGATGGTAAAACAGGGAAGGGACAGGAAAGGCCTCCTGTGGAAATTGGGATTTAAAGGTGAATTTAAAGGAAGAAAGTCAGGGAAGCTAGGGGCTGAGGTGAAAGAGGGAGAGCATTCCAGGAATTGCGGGAACAGCCAGTGAAGAGGCACTCTTTCAAGTTGACCTACGATCCCAGGGCCATAAAAAAGTGAATTGCAATTCTGTGACCTTCTAACAAGACCTTGGTAACATGCCATAAAGAACACGCAACAATGTTTCTCTCCTTACTTCTAGATGCTGAAGATGATTAATAAAACACAGACAGGATAACCCGACTGGACAATGATCCAATCCATCCCTCCTCTGCCCGGCTCCTTCACCCATCGTTTTTTTATAAACTCCCATGTTCCGGGCCATCCTCCTGCAAGAAGTCTTCCCTTTCCCCCAGTCCGTAGTGACCTTCCTTCTCAGCCTCCCCGGACCTCCACCTAGCTAGTCCTTCTTGAAATCATCAGAGTAAATGACACAGGCTATTTGCAATCTTCCTTGAAGGCTCCTCGAGGGCATGTACCCAATGCAGGGTCCTCGAACGCTAAACTGATCTAAGTTCCGGTCCAGCTCTACCCCTCCCCCCCCAAAAAGGTAGGGTGGGAAGGATAGAAAGGGAAGCCAGGAACTGATAGCAAGATTGACTCGATGGACCCAAAAGAATTCGTGCAGAGAGATATGGAGGAGGGAGAAGTGTTTAACGCCTAAGTAAGAGTAACCATTTCTGACAACCACATCTTGCATCCTCCTCCAGGAAGCCAAGGGGACTGGGAGAGCTGATTAGCAGCAACACTAACCGTGGGAAGGAGGGGTGGGAACCCCAATTCTCCAGACTGCGCTCCCGGGAAGGCGCTCCAGACCTAAATACTCATCCACCACCCGGAGCGGCAGCCACTTGCCCACACCGCCTCCCAGTCCTTGAGGCCCCAGAGAATCAATGAAAAGGCCCAGGGACGGGGCCGGCCGGGCTCCACGCCAAGGAAGGCCGGTAGGGGCGCGGGGACGGGGGCCCCATCACGCACCTCGGGCGGCCAGTCCGTTGCGGGCCCGGCCCCAGGGCGCGCACCTGGTCCAGCCTCCAGTTATCTCCGCTCGGACCTTCGCGGACGCAGGCCTGGGGAAATCCAGCACGATGTCCCAGGCCCGGAAGAGGCTCCGGCGCGACTCCCACGCAGGCGGGGGCCGGGCCCCTAGGGATGCGGCGGACGCCGAAGCTGGCCGACGTGCTCCCGACCGCCTCCGGACTGCCCAGCAACTGGCTACTCTCTCCGCCACCAGCCCCGCTCCCCTCCCGCTCTCCAGCTCCCCCTGGAGGAAGAGAAGCAGGGAGGAGAGAGCAAGGGAGAGCGGCCCGGAGGCGGGGGCGGGAACAGGACCTGGGCAGGGGTGTGGCGGGGCCGGCCTGATGGGGTACGTGGGAGGAGCCACAGATCTCCGGCCGGGGACGGAGGGGGCGCGTGGCCGACGCTGCGCGCTCCCTGCGAGCCGGCGGCGGGATGGGAGCGCGCGTACCTTTCTCAACAGCTGACAAAGCAGAACGTCAGTTTCAGTTGACTAAGAGAGAGGGATTATTTCCGGCGACTTGCTCCGCTCCCCCTCCCCCAGCAACAGTCACTGGTTCAAATTTTATTTATTTATATGCTGAGGTTTCCCCATCACCGCTGGCGCAAGCGCAAATCCCGAGTGTCCGCGAAGGGGGAAGAGGGGGTGGGGTAGGGGTGAGTAGACAATCCCCCGTCCGCGCGTGCGCGTCGAGCACGCAAGAGGCTCCGGGTGTCAGGGTCGCGCGCTTACGTCGTTGACGGCTCGGACGGACTGGCCGGCGAGGAATGTGATTGTGCGCAGTGGGGGCGGCAGGGGCCGCAGCCACAAGCTGGTTGTGGAGGAGAGATAGTCCACTGGACTGCGGGCGTGGTCGGGAACGCGCAGAGCCGGCGCGCGGGCGGGAGCAGGACGTGGGGAAACTGGGGTGACGGGCCCTGGGGCAGTTGCACGGGCCGGGGGGGAGCGTCGGCGGCGGGAGTGGGCAGGGGAGGCCGGCATAGCGGCCCAGACTCTCCGGACACAGGCCGCGGCGGCGGCGGCAGTTTCCGGCTCGGCGGGGAGGGTAGTGCCGCTGCCTGGACCCCAGACTGGAAGATGTTTAACGTGGAATCCTTGGAGCGGGTGGAGCTGTGCGAGAGCCTTCTCACCTGGGTACGTGACCCCGGTAGCTGGACGTTCGTCCCTTCTCCGGTGCTTTTCACATTACCGGGGGGGGGAAGAGGGGGACTGAAGAAGGGGGAGCACCCCGGGCAGTGGCACCGTCACATCCGGGCGGGCGGGGGCCGCGTCGACACCCGGGCCCGCCCCCCACCCTTCCCACCCCCGCTGTACCCCCCCGGATGACGGAGAGATGGGTTGGGAGCCCTAGGACCACGTCCTCGACTCCCGGCCAGCCTGAAGTTTAGTCTAACCCGATCTCCGACGTGGAAACAGGTTCTGTGGAGGCTAATGAGCCGGGCGTGAACGATACTTTAATTAAGGAGATTGTTTGCTGCTTGTGAAAGGCTCTAGGGTTTCACCCTCTTGCTTACGTTGACTCGAAAAGCATTTTCCTTCACTGTATCCCAGTGAAGCCAAAGGAACTCTACTGAAGGCCGGGTTCATGGTAGTAATCATAGTCTTTGTTTCAGCTGAAATCTTGGAATGCTAAAAAGGTGCTAGAGGGGCTTTAAAAAGGTGGTGCAGTGGATAGAGTGCTGGGCTTGGAGTCAAGAAGACTCAAGTTCAGATCTGGCCTCAGACCCTTATTAACTTGTGAACCTGGGCAAGTCACTTAACCCTGTTTGTCTCAGTTTCCTCGTATGTACAGTAATGAACTGGAGAAGGAAATGGTAAAGTTTACTCCAGTATCTTTGCCAAGAAAACCCCGGACGGGGTCACAAAGAGTTGGACACTACTGAAACAACTGAACAACGAACTTGCCCCTCTGTCTCTAGGACGTCCACTTGGGAGGCAGAGGGGGACTTGGGCTTGAAAAACCATGAGCAAAATCACACAGGAATAGATATAGGTATGTCTACATATAGATATCTCATCCTAAACAAAATCGGAACCCCTGGACAGAATACTATGCAGTACTGTGTCCAGGGGTCCTGAGTTTGTTTAGGATGGGATGGCTTGAAGACAGTTGAAGCAGCCTGCATTAGAGCAGAAAGGAAGGAAGAGCTAAAGGCAAGTGTGGAGTAGTCAGGAGGATATTTAGGAGTCTAAAGGAATCATAGAGCATTTGGGAGCCAGGTAACTTTAAAATTGTTTTATGCTTGTTTGTGCTCAAGTTCTTCTTAAGAACAAAGATTGGTACAGTGTGCCCAGTGGGAATTTAAACTACTTGCTACTGAAAAGGCAGTACATTGCTACATTGTACTGTAACAAATAGAGAATCTCTAGTAGTACCTAATATGTTCTGAAGATTTTCATATAAAATAACCTCATGATTCATATATTCCAATCTTCTACCAACCAAATGGGAGGGGCAAGGGGTAGGGAGATAGTTACTAGCAGTAAAAGTTTGATGTAATGTGATAGGCCTTCACGTTGGAAGTTACACCTATAGGTTCAACTAAACACCCTGTTCTCCCACCGTATGCCTGCTGCTTCCAGTACTGCTGGAAGAAAAGTTCAGACTGGCTTCACTAGATTTGTTACCATTCTCAACTGGGTCCCTCATTACTACACACTAATACTTTTACTGTACTGTGAACAGCATTCTAACTGTGCTTTCTCCAGCTATTGTTTTTCCATACCTGCTCTTCTGAAGCAGCCTACACATCATGCTTCCCTTCCACTTTTGCCCCAACCCTTCCCAGCAAAGGTCCTTGCTTCATTCTTCACTGAAAAAAACTTAAGTCATCAATTAGGGTCTCTTTCTCCTTTCTGGTTCTACACAGAATTCATGTCAGCAACTTGCCCCTTCAGTTATCTCTTCTCAATTTGCAGCCCATTCTCATCCACTGAGTGTGTCTTTGTTGCTTTCAAACATGCTTAGTTCTCTCCCATCCTCAAACCTTTACTTGACCCCATCTTTCCCCTAAGCTGACATCTTATTGCTCTTTCCTTTGATAGTTATACTTCTAGAAAAAGTTGTCTATACTCATTATCCTCCTCTTTCTAACTTTCTACTTGCTCCTTTGGGTCTCATCCCCATCAGTGAACTGAAACTGCGTTCTCTACAGTCATGAATGATTTTTTTAAAAGATTTTTATTGGTGCTTTTTGTTTTGACATCCTGTATTCCTTCCCCCTCCCTTTTTAAGAGAGCTCTTCCTTATAACAAAAAAAAATACCAATGGTCTCTTAATTGTTAAATCCCATAGCCTTTTCTCCCTCCTAATTCTTCTTGACTTCTCTGCAGTATCTGCCACTATTAACTCCCTTCACCTGAGGGTTCTCCCTGAATGTTTGTGATCCTGTTCCATCATGGTTTTTTTTTTGTCTGTTAGTCTGATCCTTTGTCATCATCTGTGTCCTGCACCCTAACATGATCATGATCACCAGGTTTTGCCCTGGGACCCTTTATGTCTTTCTCTGCACTGTCTTTGTTATCAGTTATTGTAACTCTTTGCAGATGACTCCCAAATCTACATACCCAGAGCTTTTGTCTTTCTGGAGTTCCATCAACAACTATATTCCTAAAACAGAACTCGATATCTTGCCCTTAGACCTTCTTCCTCCTTCCCTGTCTCTACTGAAAGTACTGCCATTTCAGTCACCCTAATTTGATGCTGAGAAGTCTTCTTCTGCTCTTTGTTCTGTCATCATTTGCCAACAGTTCTCAGCTCTTCAACGTCTCTTACTTTTCTGTACTCACACTACAGTCACTTTAGTACAGGCCTTCAATATCTCTTTCCTGGACTGTTGCCTTCTAATTGACTTCCCATTATCCAATCTTTCTCCTCTCAAATCCATTCTGCCAAAATGATCTTAAAGGTCTGACTCTGCTATTCCTCTGCTCAAGAAGCTTCAGTGGCTATTCATTGCCTGTATGACACATTTCTTTAGAATTGACCTCTTTAGCATTTAAAGTCCTTATTAATCTGGCTCTAGCCTAACTCTTCAGATTTAGTAATCCCCTTCACATGCCATATATTCTGGCTAAACTGTATTACTTATTCTTCTCTATATGTGACTTTCCATTTCTCACTTCCGTAATAGTTATTCATTGGATAGAGTGCTGGTCCTAGAATCAGGAAGACCTGAGTTCAAATCCTGCTTCAGACACTGTGTCTGTGGGCAAATTACTCAATCTCTCTTAACCTCGGTTTCCTCATTTGTAAAATGGAGCCAATATTAGCACCTACTTCATGGAGTTATTGTGAGGACTAGATGACATACTATTTGTAAAGCACTTAGGAAAGTGCCTGGCATGTAATATAATAGCATTTGATAAATGCTTGTTTCCTTCCTTCCTTGCACAGGACAAATACCCCCCCCTTCCCCTCCAATCCATACATCCCATTCTCACTTCTGCTTCTTGGAAACCCTAGTTCAACTCAAGTAACACCTCTTCCAAGAGGACTTTTCTGCTTCTCCTAATTGTTAGTGCCCCATCCCCTGCCATCACCAAGTATTTATTTTGTATTTCTCTTCAATATAATCATTTGTAAACATGTATCATAAAAGTACGGTAACCTTTTTTGTGTCTTGTACTCCTTTGACAGTCTAGTGAGGCATATGAACTCCTTATCAGAATAATATTTTAAAATGCACAAAACACATAAGATTACAAAAGAAACTAATTATATTGAAATACAGATATTTTAAAAGCAGGTTCATGGCTTTAGGTTAGAGTGTAAGCTGCTCAAAAAGAGGAATTGTCTCACTATTGTATTTGTTTCCCAAGGAGCCTAGCACAGTGCCTAGCATATATGTGCTTAATAAATGCTTGTTGATTGAACATTAGAGTGATTCCACTGTACTATGTACAGTTGACAATTCTAAAAATATGATATTAAGAACAGGTGAGAAATCTTAATTTAAAAGCCTATTTTGAGAGTAGGAGCAGGAGGCTGGTACAAGAATGAATAAGATTTAAGGTTTGATAAAGTGTATGAGAGCTAAAGTAATGGATACATTTCGATGGTATGTGGAAGTAGTTTGTCAGTGGTTTAGATACAAAGAGAGAAGGATTTGAGATTATTTGCTTCAGAAACTGAACAAATTGTACCTTCATTGTGGTAGAAAAATGGGGAAGCAGATACAAAGATCAGTTGAAAATAGTGATGGTCTAATAGAAACAAATCAGCTAGAGTAAAATCATGGAGATTTAGGTAAATTTTAAGGTCATACTCCTAGATATAATTTAATGCAAATGTGAAAAGCAGTAGTAAAAGTATAGAGGAAGAAATGCAGGGTGTCAAGAAAAGTACCCTTAGGCAATACCAATTTGGAGTAGAACATGAATAACTGCCATTTTCTGACAATGAGGGAACAGACTGAAAGGTAAAAGCAAATAGAACCGTCTAGAACAGGATTTCTCAAATTGGTACAGCAAAAGAAACTGATGAGGCTTCAAGGATGTGGTACAAAACCTGTAAATGCTGATTTAGGGGCCCCTAAAGATAAAGGAATTGTCAGGGAAATTTCTGGTATGAAATAGAGGAATTTTAATCTTGTCTTACTAAAAGTGTATGCTCCCTTTCTCTACTCATACAACCATCACTTCTTGCCTGAACTGTTGCAGTAGCCTCCTTATTGTTTTCCTTGTTTCAAGTCACTCTCTTTTATCCCTTCCCTACATAGCCAACAAAGTGATTTTCCTAACTGACAACCATATTTCTTCCTTCCCCCTCCTCCTCATAAACTCGCTATTGCCTCAAAGGTCAAACAAAATCCTTTGATAGTCGTCTAAAACTCTTCAGAACCTGACCCTTTCCTCCCTTTCCTGTCTTTCTTAAACATTCTTACTCTCTCCCATACATTCTACCACCCAGTCATTCTGTCCTGCTTTTAGTTCCTCACGTGGAACTGTATGACTTTACCCATCCTTTTGTTGCACATGCCTAGATGCAGTCCTTCTTCATCACCTTCTCACAAGTACCACCTTCTACATGAAAACTTTTCTGATACTCTGCCCCCCAAAAGCCCCCAAAACCCCTTTGTATTCTTTTTGTGTATAACCTGTATTTACTTGTATGTATTTATTCTGGCTCCCCA